TCTTCACATAACGACGGAGTTTCGTTCCTAAGATCATGTCGGTAAACGAATTCGTCGCTAAGTGAGGAGCATACTATAATGGTAGTGGGTTTGTGTCGTCCATCTTAGATGTTGTTTTAATGTCACCTTTGCACCATTTATAGCATTTTTGGTATATTTTTAAATGTTTGTACAGTAGTATACTGTGTATTGTAATAAATAGAATAGAGGAAATCAGCTGTAATATACATTATTTAGGTATGCATACTGGTCAGAGAGCCCGTTGTAAGTCCGAGTCGTCAGTAAATGAGTATGTTGCTAAGTGAGGAGAGGCTGTATACCTTTGTTGTGTTCTGAAAGTTTTTCTGCTCCCAGAGCCCAGCCTTAGGCCAGGCTCTGGGATAGGCTTTGAAGCTAATAAACAAGCCAACTATCACAACTCATGCCCTTTACCAGAATATATCTTCTAATGCATAAGAACATAATAACATAAGAAAGGAGGATCACTGCAGCAGGCCCATTGGCCCATACTAGGCAGGTCCTTTACAATCCATCCCACTAACAAAACATTTGCCCAACCTAATTTTCAATGCTACCCAAGAAATAAGCTCTGATAACTCTATCCACTCATTTGCAAGTCTCACTCAAATCCAACCCCTCTCACTCATGCATTTATTTATTTATTTATTTTTTATTATCACACTGGCCGATTCCCACCAAGGCAGGGTGGCCCAAAAAAGAAAAACTTTCACCATCATTCACTCCATCACTGTCTTGCCAGAAGGGTGCTTTACACTACAGTTTTTAAACTGCAACATTAACACCCCTCCTTCAGAGTGCAGGCACTGTACTTCCTATCTCCAGGACTCAAGTCCGGCCTGCCGGTTTCCCTGAACCCCTTCATAAATGTTACTTTGCTCACACTCCAACAGCACGTCAAGTATTAAAAACCATTTGTCTCCATTCACTCCTATCAAACACGCTCACGCATGCCTGCTGGAAGTCCAAGCCCCTCGCACACAAAACCTCCTTTACCCCCTCCCTCCAACCTTTCCTAGGCCGACCCTACCCCGCCTTCCTTCCACTACAGACTGATACATCTTGAAGTTATTCTGTTTCGCTCCATTCTCTCTACATGTCCGAACCACCTCAACAACCCTTCCTCAGCCCTCTGGACAACAGTTTTGGTAATCCCGCACCTCCTCCTAACTTGCAAACTACGAATTCTCTGCATTATATTCACACCACACATTGCTCTCAGACATGACATCTCCACTGCCTCCAGCCTTCTCCTCGCTGCAGCATTCATCACCCATGCTTCACACCCATATAAGAGCGTTGGTAAAACTATACTCTCATACATTCCTCTCTTTGCCTCCAAGGACAAAGTTCTTTGTCTCCACAGACTCCTAAGTGCACCACTCACCCTTTTCCCCTCATCAATTCTATGATTCACCTCATCTTTCATAGACCCATCCGCTGACACGTCCACTCCCAAATATCTGAATACATTCACCTCCTCCATTCTCTCTCCCTCCAATCTGATATCCAATCTTTCATCACCTAATCTTTTTGTTATCCTCATAACCTTACTCTTTCCTGTATTCACTTTCAATTTTCTTCTTTTGCACACCCTACCAAATTCATCCACCAATCTCTGCAACTTCTCTTCAGAATCTCCCAAGAGCACAGTGTCATCAGCAAAGAGCAACTGTGACAACTCCCACTTTATGTGTGATTCTTTATCTTTTAACTCCACGCCTCTTGCCAAGACCCTCGCATTTACTACTCTTACAACCCCATCTATAAATATATTAAACAACCAGGTGACATCACGCATCCTTGTCTAAGGCCTACTTTTACTGGGAAATAATTTCCCTCTTTCCTACATACTTTAACTTGAGCCTCACTATCCTCGTAAAAACTCTTCACTGCTTTCAGTAACCTACCTCGTACACCATACACCTGCAACATCTGCCACATTGCTTCCCTATCCACCCTGTCATTACGCCTTTTCCAAATCCATAAATGCCACAAAGACCTCTTTAGCCTTATCTAAATACTGTTCACTTATATGTTTCACTGTAAACACCTGGTCCACACACCCTCTACCTTTCCTAAAGCCTCCTTGTTCATCTGCTATCCTATTCTCCGTCTTACTTTTAATTCTTTCAATAATAACTCTACCATACACTTTGCCAGGTATACTCAACAGACTTATCCCCCTATAATTTTTGCACTCTCTTTTATCCCCTTTGCCTTTATACAAAGGAACTATGCATGCTCTCTGCCAATCCCTAGGTACCTTACCCTCTTCCATACATTTATTAAATAATTGCACCAACCACTCCAAAACTATATCCCCACCTGCTTTTAACATTTCTATCTTTATCCCATCAATCCCGGCTGCCTTACCCCTTTCATTTTACCTACTGCCTCACGAACTTCCCCACACTCACAACTGGCTCTTCCTCACTCCTACAAGATGTTGTTCCTCCTTGCCCTATACACAAAATCACAGCTTCCCTATCTTCATCAACATTTAACAATTCCTCAAAATATTCCCTCCATTTTCCCCAATACCTCTAACTCTCCATTTAAAAACTCTCCTCTCCTATTTTTAACTGACAAATCCATTTGTTCTCTAGGCTTTCTTAACTTGTTAATCTCACTCCAAAACTTTTTCTTGTTTTTCAACAAAATTTGTTGAAAACATCTCACCCACTTCCCTTTGCTCTCTTTTTACATTGCTTCACCACTCTTTAACCTCTCCTTTTTCTCCATTACTCTTCCCTCCTTGCAAACACTTCTACTTTGTAAAAACTTCTCATATGCTAACTTTTCTCCCTTTCTACTCTTCACATCATCATTTCCCCCAATCGCTCCTCTTCCCTCCCGCACCCACTTTCCTGTAACCACAAACTTCTGCTGAACACTCTACACTACATTTTTAAACCTACCCCATACCTCTTCGACCCCCTTGCCATGCTCTCATTAGCCCAATCTATCCTCCAATAGCTGTTTATATCTTACCCTAACTGCCTCCTCTTTTAGTTTATAAACCTTACCTCTCTTCCTGATGCTTCTATTCTTCTTGTATCCCATCTACCTTTTACTCTCAGTGTAGCTACAACTAGAAAGTGATCTGATATTTTCTGTGGCCCCTCTATAAACATGTACATCCTGAAGTCTACTCAACAGTCTTTTATCTACCAATACATAATCCAACAAAAATACTGTCATTTTGCCCTGCATCATATCTTGTATACTTATTATCCTCTTTTTCTTAAAATGTATTACCTATAACTTAAAACCCCCTTTCTATACAAAGTTCAATCAAAGGGCTCCCATTATCATTTACACCTGGCACCCCAAACTTACTACCACACCCTCTCTAAAAGTTTCTCCTACTTTAGCATTCAGGTCCCCTACCACAATTACTCTCTCACTTGGTTCAAAGGCTTCTATACATTCACTTAACATCTCCCAAAATCTCTCTCTCTCCTCTACATTCCTCTCTTCTCCAGGTGCATACACGCTTATTATGACCCACTTCTCGCATCCAACCTTTACTTTAATCCACATAATTCTTGAATTTACACATTCATATTCTCTTTTCTCCTTCCATAACTGATCATTCAACATTACTGCTACCCCTTCCTTTGCTCTAACTCTCTCAGATACTCCAGATTTAATCCCATTTATTTCCCCCCACCAAAACTCCCCTACCCCCTTCAGCTTTGTTTTGCTTAGGGCCAGGACATCCAACTTCTTTTCATTCATAACATCAGCAATCATCTGTTTCTTGTCATCCGCACTACATCCACGCACATTCAAGCATCCCAGTTTTATAAAGTTTTTCTTCTTCTCTGTTTTAGTAAATGTCTACAGGAGAAGGGGTTCCTAGCCCATTGCTCCCATGCATTTATCCAACCTAAATTTGAAACTACCCAAGGTCTTGGCCTCAATAACCCAACTAGGTAGACTGTTCCACTCATCAACTACCCTATTTCCAAACCAATACTTTCCTATGTCCTTTCTAAATCTAAACTTGTCTAATTTAAATCAATTACTGCGGGTTCTCTTTTGGAGAGATATCCTCAAGACCTTATTAATGTTCCCTTTATTAATACCCATCTTCCACTTATACACTTCGGTCATGTCTCCCCTCATTCTTCGTCTAACAAGTGAATGTAATTTAAGAGTCTTCAGTCTCTCTTCATAAGGAAGATTTCTAATGCAGTACTCTGGTGTTATTAGGGGATGAGCCAGGAAGCAATAAATGTCCATTGCTAAACAAGTTTAGACTTGTATATATGTCTTTTATTAACACCTGGGCCTCAGACAGCCTTTCCTATCCCTAAATTTATATGGCAGTATCTTGAGAAAAACCACGTTGTAGTACAGTGAACACTAGGCATGCAACATAGATCTGTACTTCTTTTATTTTACCTTTTTGCAGCATTTAATAGTAAGTTTATTCAGGTATACACAAATACAGTTACATAGATTATTATACATAGCAGCATATACTATATAGAGAACCTAGGTTAACCCAAAAAAGTTAGACAGTGTGATTTATTTTCATGTAAATGGGAGATTTACTCATTTGATCAACATTTTTAACAAAACAGATGTTTTTTAATATTTTATAACATATCAGCCATCTCCCACCAGGGTAGGGTGACTGAAAAAAAAGGAAATACATTTATCATCTGACAAGATACCTATTTATCAGTTGGTATCTTGCCAGAAGTGTGCAGACATTGCAGTTCAAATTACCTTCCTCACCCCTTCTTCAGAGTGCAGGCAGTGTACTTCCCACCTCCAGGACTCAAGTCTGGCTAATCAATTTTCAGCCATATCCCACTGAGGCAGGGTAGCCCAACAAGAAAAACAAAAGTTTCTCTTATTAAATTTAGTAATTTATACAGGAGAAGGGGTTACTAGCCCCTTGCTCCCGGCAGTTTAGTCACCTCTTACGGAGGAGGAATTCTGTTCACTTCCCCATGGAGATCTAATATATTTTTGAATATTATTAGGTTTGTGTCATGGAGATGCCAGAAATGCCTGCTGTGCTGGCACTGTGTGTAGAAAAGAACCTTGTGTGTTACCTAGTGGAAGCTGAGCTGCGTCACCTCTTACCACTGAGTGTACATCCTGAACTCTCTGTGGACTCCAGATTGTGGTAAGAAAATGTTTTGCAAATTGTGGTAAGAAAACTGTTACTATTGATTGTGGTAAGAAAACTTACTATTGATTGTGGTAAGAAAACTGTTACTTTAGATTGTGGTAAGAAAACTTACTGTAGATTGTGGTAAGAAAACTGTTACTATAGATTGTGGCAAGAAAACTGTTACTATAGATTTTGGTAAGAAAGGAATATTTAGGATTGTTATTACATGTACAGTACTTGTTTTTCTGGCTGGAAATTTCTCATTTGCACGAAAAGCTGTAGTCCCTTCACGAGAGGTTCCTTGATGCTGGTGAGGAGGCTCCTGATCCAAGAAATTGAACCTATCATCCCCTTCCTTGGATCAAACCTGATTTTCTCCCATTCCTCAGGCACTGTATGAACCCTATGGATTTAGTGCTTTCTTAAACACAGAATAGTAATAAAGTTTATGGTAGGTTCGGTAGTGTTGAAAATTACCATAATTCAGTTTAGAGTGATGTGCTTTCTGGTAACATTTTAACACTATTTGTTAAATTCATGGCACACATAAGTACAATAAGGCACCTAAATTACTGGGAACGGTTGAAGGCCCTTGATCTGTATCCCCTGGAACACAGGCGAGAGAGATACATAATAATATACACTTGGAAAATCCTAGATGGATTAGTACCAAACTTGCACATGAAAATCACTCCCAATGAAAAGCAGGGGTGCCACAAGTACACTGAGAGACAACACAATAAGTGTCCGGGGCCTAAGACTGTTCAGCTGCCTCCCATCATACATAAGGGGGATTACCAATAGACCCCTGGCTGTCTTCAAGAAGGCACTGGACAGACACCTAAAGTCAGTACCTGACCAACTGGGCTGTGGTTCGTATGTCAGTTTGTGTGCGGCCAGCAGTAACAGCTTGGTTCATCAGACCCTGATCCTGAGGCCTGGTCTCAGACTGAGCTGCAGGGGCATTGACCCCAAAACCCTCTCCAGGTAAACTCCAGGTACAGAATGCAAGAGCTGGTGAAAAGCTCATGATCCAAGGAATCAGAGCTGTCTTTACCTTCTCCAGGTGTTGTATAACCTTTACAGGGTTAACAACTGCTTGTGAATATAATAATAATAATAATAATAATACAGTGGAACCTCAAAAATCGAACTTAATCCGTTCCAGGAGCTAGTTCTAAATTCGAAAAGTCTGAAATTCGAAGCAATATTTCCCATAAGAAATAATGGAAATACAATTAATCCGTTCCAGAAACCCAAAAATATTCACAAAAATAATACATTTTATAGAGATTAATTACAGTTTTACATACACACAACAAATGCTATAGTCTTTAATTATGTATAGTAATATAAAATAACATTTTTACTTACTTTTATTGAAGATTGGTGATGGCATCTGGAGTCATTGGACCCCAGTCTCGCAAAATAACTGTCTACAGTCCTCTGTTTCTGTCTCACAAAATAACTATCCACAGTAGTCTATTTCTGTCTCGCAAAATAACTGTCCACAATCGTCTGTTTGCCTCACAAAATAACTCCACAATCGTCTGTTTGTCTCACAAAATAACTCCACAGTCATCTGTTTCTGTCTCACAAAATAACTCCACAGTCATCGGTTTCCGTCTCACAAAATAACTGTCCACAGTCCTCTGTACATTCTGGCAAGCTCAACAAGTCTCACACCACTCTCATACTTCTGTATTATTTCCTTCTTCACATCTATGGTGTTTCTCACTTTCTTTACCACAGGGGTACCGCTAGCAAGTTTCTTTGGGCCTATGGCAGCTTATTTCACAGTCCCACAAGTACTAAACACAATGAAATAATCGTAAAATGTGTGAATGAGAGCGCAGGTTAGCGTTCACTCAAGCATAAACAAAGCTAGGCTGCTGCTCACGGCGCCTGTGCGGGGACGAGGACAGAGCGGGCCAGCGGACAGGTCCTGTACCCGGCGGTCCGAAATTTGAAACGCGTTCGATTTTTGGTACACAGTTTGTCCGAAAAAATGGTCTTATTTTCGAAGCGTTCGATATTTGGTACGTTTGATTTTCAAGGTTCCACTTTAGTAATAATATGGCTTGTTTGTTCAGAGATGAAGAAGATTAATAATAACAAAAAGATTAGGTGATGAAAGATTGGATATCAGATTGGAGGGAGAGAGTATGGAGGAGGTGAATGTATTCAGATATTTGGGAGTGGACGTGTCAGCTGATGGGTCTATGAAAGATGAGGTGAATCATAGAATTGATGAGGGGAAAAGGGTGAGTGGTGCACTTAGGAGTCTGTGGAGACAAAGAACTTTGTCCTTGGAGGCAAAGAGGGGAATGTATGAGAGTATAGTTTTACCAACGCTCTTATATGGGTGTGAAGCATGGGTGATGAATGTTGCAGCGAGGAGAAGGCTGGAGGCAGTGGAGATATCATGTCTGAGGGCAATGTGTGGAGTGAATATAATGCAGAGAATTCGTAGTTTGGAAGTTAGGAGGAGGTGCGGGATTACTAAAACTGTTGTCTAGAGGGCTGAGGAAGGGTTGTTGAGGTGGTTTGGACATCTAGAGAGAATGGAGCGAAACAGAGTGACTTCAAGAGTGTATCAGTCTGTAGTGGAAGGAAGGCGGGGTAGGGGTCGGCCTAGGAAAGGTTGGAGGGAGGGGGTAAAGGAGGTTTTGTGTGCGAGGGGCTTGGACTTCCAGCAGGCATGCGTGAGCGTGTTTGATAGGAGTGAATGGAGACATTGTTTTTAATACTTGACGTGCTGTTGGAGTGTGAGCAAAGTAACATTTATGAAGGGGTTCAGGGAAACCGGCAGGCTGGACTTGAGTCCTGGAGATGGGAAGTACAGTGCCTGCACTCTGAAGGAGGGGTGTTAATGTTGCAGTTTAAAAACTGTAGTGTAAAGCACCCTTCTGGCAAGACAGTGATGGAGTGAATGATGGTGAAAGTTTTTCTTTTTCAGGCCACCCTGCCTTGGTGGGAATCGGCCAGTGTGATAATAAAAAAAAAATAATAAAAAATAACTGTACTAATTTCTGATATGAGCCACATTTTTAACTTGTTTATTCAGTTGCACATTCCTTTCAAGGATTAGATTTTGCCACCGAAGTGGCTAGTTTATTGTGCACCCCATATCCATCCTGTGGACGGTAGTGCAAGAGCATATGGATACACAAAAGGCCTAGGAACTAGGCCCCAAAGGGTTAACAGGAGTACATATGGATTTATATCTACATATCTATAGTTCACTTATCTGTTACAAACAAATTTAGGAAATTTGCTTAGTATATCTGGTATTTTATTTTCATAAATAAGATATCTTGACATGTCACATAGGTTATTATACTGTCTATCTCTGTATTTCTCAATAAGGTGCCCTCAAGGAAGGCATCTTAAAGCTGGTAAAGGGCTCTTGATTCAAAGAATTAGAGCTGTCTTTGCTTTTTTTGGCTCAGACCTTATCACTTTGTTTTATACAGGAGGGCCTCTCTTTACAGCGCTTCACCTTACGGTGGTTCCCTAATACACAGGTTTTCAATATACCCATTGTTCATTTATTCAGACTTCCTACAATAAATATGTTCACCACTCACTATAAGCTAAGGTCAAAAATATTTTAAGGTAAGTAATGTGTGTACTGGATAAGCATTTTTTAGACCTAGCTCTATTGCTTATTTAATATATGATAGTTTAAATATGTTATCCGGCTTTTATATATATTTGAAAGTGGAAAAAAATACTACGATTCACTTTATAGCAGTAGCCTGGAGCCTAACCTGCTGTATAAGCAGGGCCTGCCTGTACATTAGTTTTATAGGCAAAGAGCTGTTATTCTACCTCAGCTCATTTCAGAGCCCAGCCTTATCTAAGGTAGACTACCCCTCATGTCCCCCATGATGCGACCCACAGTAGTCAACTAACACCCAGGTGCCTACTCACTGCTAGGTGAACAGGGGCTAAGATAAGATTAAAGTTGTTTGAATTTTTAATGCAGAGGGTTATCCACCCAAGATAACCCAAGAAAGTCATTGCATCAGTGAGGACTGTCTGTCTTATTACCATTGGGGTCCTTCAATCTGGTCCCCCAGGATGTAACCCACACTAGTCGACTAACACCTAGGTATCTACTTACTGCTAGGTGAACAGGGACAGCAAGTGTAAGAAAACATGCCCAGTGTTTTCACCCATACTGGGGATTGAACTATTGACACACTGTCTGTGAGGCGAGTGCATTGCTAACTGATCCACAGGTTACCTATTTCCACCTTTCCCCATTTCTTAGATGCTGTATGACCTTTATGAACTTAGCACTTTTCCATGAATACAATAATAATGATAAATTGTTTATTTATGTGTATGAAATTCAGTGAAACCTTTATTTACCAGAATAATAAGGGAGAGTGAGTGGCCTGTAATGGTGATTGTGGGGATAAAGATGAGATTGTTTTGCCTTGATTGTAACAATAACAAGCAACTCTTCAAACAATGGACTTTGTTCAATGTTTGCAAGTCACTTGACCAAGTGGATCTTCTCCCGTATTTCTGAAGTCTGTTAAATCAAGGTCTATTTAATCTAGGATTAAATGTTTGATTAGATCTACATTACAGTGCTTTTGAATATGCATTCAAATTCAAATTCAGAACTCAAATACAGCCTCTCATTTAACGACGGAGTTCCATTCCTAAGATCATGTCGGTAAACGAATTCGTCACTAAGTGAGGAGCACACTATATGATGGTAATGGGTTTGTGTCATCCATCTTTAATATTTTTTAATGTCACCTTTGCACTATTTATAACATTTCTGGTATATTTTTAAATGTTGATACAGTAGTGTACTGTGTATTGTAATAAACAAAATAAAAGAAATCAGCTCTAGTATACATTATTTAGGTATGCATACTGGTCAGGGAGCCTGTCGTATGTCCAAGGCATTGGTAAACGAGTATATCGTTAAATGATGAGAGGCTGTATTTTATTTCTTTTATGCATTATACAGATAATGTAGTTCACATGTAATAAAATACTGTTAGGCACAAAAGAAAGCCACTAATATGTGGTGCATTTCTCCTGATGCCTTTTCCTGTATAAATTACTAAGTGTTATAAGTAGAAAAACTTTTGTTTCTTCTTTTTCAGGCCACCTTACCTAGGTGAGAGATGGCTGGTGTGTTAAACTTTCTCCTAAATTATTCTGGGATAATTTTTTATGTGTTAATATATTCTTCTATTTACAGCTGTGATGGGAATATACTGGTAATTTCTCAAATGGTAGATGAGCATAATCTTGCCATCTATGAAGCCTCTTTGCTACTTCAGAAAAAAAGAATTGAACTCACCCACAAAGGACGCATCAGGACAGGTTCACCTCCTCTCTACTGGGACCTGTGGAATGGATTTGTAATTATCTTGTATTTCTTTATTACCACAGATGCATGCACCAAAAAGACTGTGTAAGGAATTAGCAGAGTGAAAAGTGTTTTGTAAAATGTAGCTACTGGTAATTCAGGAACTAGAATGGTATGTAAATTACTGTACTAACAAGGTGGAATAAGTGATATCTGGATGCAGTGAAAACTCTTATGAACTTTACTATCACTGCCTTGGTAAAACCCACTGTGTGTCGGTGAAAAGTTGTCATTCACATCAGATCAAATCAAAATTTTATTTCTTTGTGTAAGTAAGCTCATTCAGCTATACACAAATACAGTTACATAGATTATCATACATAGTAGCATATGTGTATATAAATGTATCCACTGCTTCCAGATGTACTCACCTAATTGTGGTTGCAGGGGTCAAGACTCAGCTCCTGGCCCTGCCTCTTCACTGAACACTACTAGGTCCTCTCTCCCTGCTCCATTAGCTTTATCATACCTTGTCTTAAAGCTATGTATGGTTCCTGCCTCCACTACATCACTTGCTAGACTATTCCACTTCCTGTCTACTCTATGACTGAAGAAATACTTCCTAACATCCCTTTGACTCAGCCGAGTCTTCAACTTCCAAGTGTGACCCCTTGTTTCTGTGTTCCCTCTCTGGAACATCCTGTCATTTACTTTGCTTGTAATCAATCACCCAAAATTGAGACTCATCATGGTAGATTTCTGATTTAACCACTGAACTAAAATCGATAATTTGTACAAAGTTTTAAAAAAGGAATACAGCACTTACTGCTCTGTTGCAATTGGTTGCATATGTGCATACACAGTAAGCCCTCTCATAATGTGCAGGTTATGTTCCTAAAATCAAGAAATCTGAAATCTACCAGTGAAATCAGTTCAGAATCCAAATTGTCTGTTTTAATCTAACTTCAATGCACTGATCATGAATCTGAGCTTGTTTAGTCTTTATCACATAAGTTTTTTGAAAGTCTTATGATTAATATTTTAGCTATTTAAGGTTGAAGAACCACATGATATATGTTACCTAACAATCACAGGTATTATGCATAGCAACAAAAAAAAGGCACAGTACCGTGACTGGAACGATACACAAATAACCCGCACATAGAAGAGAGGAACTTACGATGATGTTTCGGTCCAACTTGGACCATTTACAAAGTCACACACAGTGTGACTACATCGTTGCTCTAGAAAACGAAATCAAAGATATCAAAGCAACACTCTAGCGACGAGAATCCAAGATAACCAACCTCGAGAACAAGATCCAAAAAACCTTGAAGAGATTACATCGGGAAGTGTTGACACAGAAAATACTCTGAAAGCAGCTATAGCCAGTCACACCAAACAAATAACTACAATAAATATGAAGGTTGAAGAAGCAATCAAGGACTGGAATCAGAACATGCACACTCGACTAAATGAATACCTTGATTTCCAAGACGACAAAACTGAACAAGATAAGTTGTCTGATGCAGTTATAATAAACAGTCCACACATTCCAAGTGACATAACCCAAGCACAGTGCAAAGAAACTGCTGTCAGGATAATACAGAACCACGTACAAGTCATCGTGCAAAACAATGAAATCAAAGAAACACGTTTGCTAGGAAAACCAGGAAGTAAACACAGTATAATGATCCGACTTCATTCATACGATAAAAGAAAGAACCTAATTAAATCAGCAATTACAATGAAAAATGGAGTGTACATAAATGAGTGTCTAACAAGAAAACGTCAAAACCTTCTGTTCAGGCTGAGAAAACTTAAACAGGAAAACAAAATACAGTGGACCCCCGGTTAACGATATTTTTTCACTCCAGAAGTATGTTCAGGTGCCAGTACTGACCGAATTTGTTCCCATAAGAAATATTGTGAAGTAGATTAGTCCATTTCAGACCCCCAAACATACACGTACAAATGCACTTACATAAATACACTTACATAATTGGTCGCATTCGGAGGTAATCGTTATGCGGGGGTCCACTGTACATCAGTGTTTCACGCGAGATGGGAAAATACTAGTAAGGAAAACATCAACAGGACAAACGAACCATCTCAAACGAACATGATTTCTCTACCTTCCTTAGAAAAGCGGACATTTCTGTAACAGATTAGATAAGTGCCCTTAATACATATATACGTGTGGTGCATATAGTGTACCTTACTATTATATTGTGCATTATTATTTTTATTATTTTTTTCATCACTAGCTAATGCTAACTACCTCCAATACTTTATACTTCTTTCTTACTGCTATTAATTGCTCATAATTTTGTGTTACAAGTCAAATCTTACTTCCCAAAATTTAAAATTATTCATTGTTCTTACCTGTCCATTTAATTTGTTTACCACTACTTGTTTTTTTTTAGTCAAATTTTATTGGGGTGTGCAATTAGTGTATATTCCCAGTTACTTTTTTGCAAGTACCAAAACTATCTTTTGCTAGCTAGTACCAACTACCTCATTTTTTACTTTTTATTGGGGCAATAAACTGCTCAACTTATTTAATTTTCAAATCAGATCTTACTCCTAAACCAGTATTATTTCATAGTGACTATCTGTCCCATTTAATTTGTTTACCATTAACTTAATTTTAGTCCCTTATATATTTTTTTCCTTATTTTAGCTTATATAACTACCTTTGTTCATATATTCACAATTGTTAAAAAAAATCAAGGTGCTATTCTCAGGTGCTAAAGTGTAATAAGTTCACTATTTTGCCATATATTCCAAAGCTCATTTATTTGATTACCACTTTATTGATTCACCACCATTTATATTAGTCCCTTTTATATTATAATTTTATATTATAATTCTAACTTTAAAGAATTACCTTTAAAGTACTACCTACTATCATATTCCCAAGCCCATTATTTGATCATCACTTTATTGTGTTCACCACAAATTTTTAGTCCCTTTTATATTGTCTCCTTTATTTTAGCTTTAAAAAACTACCTTAGCTCATTATTTTTACATTTGTTAAATAATTCAGGTGCTTTTTTTTTAGCTTTAAGAAATTTTACTTTGTTTTATACTTAATTCTAACTATAGATTCACTACAAATCTTATGATTACAAGCATTGATCCTGATACCAACCTCCTATTTAATGACTTAATTGAATCAACAGTTACTGTAATTACTACAACAGCAGAGAACAATCAAGGCACTTCTCAGAGCCAACAACAACATAACTATCTTTAACTACAATATCAGATCTTTTAAGCAAGCATTACGATGACCTCATAGCATTACTAAATTCCTTGCATGCCAATATGTCCATCATTACACTAACTGAAAACCTGGCTAAAGCCTGATACTACAGATGTCTATGCCATTCCTGGTTTACACAGCCATACACAACTGTAGGCCAGACCAACAAGGGGGTGGCACAGCTAATATACTAACTAAGACCAACAGAATGTATCACTAATACTTGCACAAGGGATGAACATGGGGAATATATAATAGCTAAATTCAAATCCAAATACCTACAAAAACCTCTCACAGTGATAAACATCTACAGAGTTCCACAATCAAAACATTAGCCAATTTTAGTCAAAAACCTAGGAAGTATGATAACTGATGCATGCATGAACAAAGATCACTTACTACTCTCAGGTGACTTCAATATAAATCTCCTGCAAGACCAGGACCCACATGTTACTGAATTCACAAACACAGTGAGTAACTGCATGTTGCTACCAACAGTAAACAGAACCTACAAGAGTTACAGAGACTAGTGTTTCCCTACTTGACCACATCTGGACCAACACCATATCCCCTTTAAAATCAGGCATAAGTTACAGATAATACCACAGACCACTACCCTACTTTCCTCATAACAACTCTTGGTAAATTACCCCAAGACACTACTAAAGTCACCTTCAGACTTCACAATGAGGGCAGCCATTAATAACTACACAACAGAGTGACAAACATTGACTGGCACACTGAGCTAGAAATCTATACAGATATTGACGAATGTTTTAATAATTTTCTAAAAAAGACCCAATACCTCTATAACAAGCACTGCCCTAAAAAAAACTAAACAGAGATGACAGCTAAGAGACTGAACAGTCCCTAGCTAACACCCAGCATTCTCAAATCCATAAATACAAAACACCGATATGAAAAACAGTACAGAATGGGTCACATAACCAGAGACCAAACAAAACGTTACTCGTCAATCCTAACCAGCCTGATAAGAAGGGCAAAAAAATTGTATTATGAGAACAGATTATCCAACTTACAAGGTGATATAAAAAAGACCTGGAAGACCCTATCAGAAATTCTGGGAACAAAAAAGATATCACGAAATAGCGAAATAAAATTAGCAAAATCAGATGAACCCCAACTCCCACCAACAGAAACAGCAAACAGACTCAATGATTTCTTCTCCACTATAGGACAAAACCTTGCCAATAAAATCCCCCAAGCTCAGATACCCCACCAAATGACTACCTCACTGGCAACTACCCGAACACACTGTTCCTAGCTCCGACTAACCCATACGAAGTCTCCCTTATTATCAACACACTAAAAAACAAGGCAGGAGATTTAAATACCTTACCACCCTTTATATACAAAAAAAGTGTCACAAGTACTATCACCAATCATTGCAACACTCTTTTAACAAATCCATGATACCTCCACATTCCCTACAGTTCTCAAAATAGCAAGGGTCACCCCGATCCATAAAGGAGGAGACCAAACAGAGTTGAATAACTATAGGCCAATATCCAATTTACAACCCTCTTCTCAAAAATCTTCGAAAAATTAATTCATAAACGAATCTACTTCTACCTCATCTCCCAAAACATACTCAACCCCTGCCAATTTGGATTCAGGTCTAATAAAAACACTAATGATGCTATTATACACATGCTAGAACATATATACACTGCAATAGAGAAAAAAGAAGCCCCACTGGGGATCATCATTGACTTACGTAAAGCTTTTGATACAGTTGACCATGACTTGCTCCACGTAAAATTGTCACACTATGGTATATGAGGGCACTCCCTCAACTACCTCAAGTCATACCTCAGCAACAGAAGCCAATATGTGTACGCAAATGGGGCAAGCTCTTCCGCACAACCAATTACAGTTGGTGTCCCACAGGGAAGTGTCCTTGTCCCTCTTCTCTTTCTCCTATACATAAATGACCTACCAAATGCTTCGCAATTACTCAAACCCACACTTTTTGCAGATGACACTACATACGTCTTCTCTCACCCGAGCCCAGTCACGCTAGCCAATACTGTAAATACCGAATTACAGAAAATATCTACCTGGATGAGGACTAACAAACTTACACTAAACATTGACAAAGCCTACTTCATTCAGTTTGGTAACAGAGCTACAGATGTACCTCTTAACATAACGATAAATGGATCACCTATCACAAAGCTAACAGAGGGAAAATTCTTAGGAATCCACCTTGATAATAGACTCAAATTTCATACACATATACAACAAATTCTAAGAAAATTTCCAAGACTGTAGGCAACTATCGAAGATACGGTACTATGCTCCACAGTCAGCCCTCCCTGGCCCTTTATCACTCTCTTATTTACCCTATCTCACCTATGGAATTTGTGCATGGGGCTCAACAACAATTAACCATCTCAGACCACTAATTACCCAACAAAAGGCTGCAGTTAGAATGATAACAAATTCTCACTACAGGCAGCACACTCCACCAATATTCAAAACACTCAACCTACTCACCATACAAAACATCCATACTTATTATTGCACCTATTACATACAGAGAACACTTAACTCTGATATTAACCCTCCCCTCAAACATCTCCTTGCCAACCTCAACAGAACACATGACCATAACACAAGGCACAGATCACTCTTTGATGTTCCTCGTGTCCATCTCACGCTATGCAAAAACTCAATGCACATAAAAGGCCCTAAAATCTGGAATTCATTACCTGTAAATGTAAAAGAAACACTGTTTATAAATTCAAGTCTCTTCTCAAAGATCACTTACTCACCCAAAACCAAATAAATACTGAATAACTGAACCTTATAAATTGTATATCCTAAATGTTACTCACAATTATATCACATAAATGTTAAACCTAGGACCCAATCAAACTTTGTTATTTTTTAAATACGTACACTACCTAACAGAATACTCCATATGACCTGTCTTTGTAATACTCATTTGTGCTTTATAGTTATCTGTTTACAATAATGTCTTATCACTGATTTCATCATTATTATCTGCTTAGTTAATCTTAAGTTAATTTTAAGCCAGCCTGTAATGCTATGCATATAAGTGGCTTTGGCATGCTGCTCTTACCTGTATTTTTTTTGTACCTCTGTATGTATGCTAAAATTACTAAATAAATAAATAAATAAATAAATTGTCCAAGTCAGACCGAAACGTCAACGTAAGCTCCTCTCTTCTATGTGCGGGTTATTTGTGTGTGTTATGCATAGTATTATATTATGCAGTGACAAACACTAATCTTTCTTAATGTAAATTCATCATATACATATGTATAAGAATAACAGAAAAAAAACAGAAATCTCCATACAGTCATACAGACATAATTACATCACAGTTTTCTGGCTTTTTTGCTTGTGTTAATCATAGCTGTCCAGCAGCAGTCAGTCATCAAACTGACCATCATGTTAGCCTGATGGTTATGTTTTGGTGAAATCATTCACCATGGGGTTCTATTTCACAGAAACTGTATGTGTTGGAGCAAAATTGAAGTTCAGATTTGAATTTAGCATCTCGGAATTATAGTTAGAAATGCATGTTTTTAGACCGACTCTGAAACCTTTGTTGGCCAGTGTTATTATAGATAACAGAACTCTACAGGTAGGTGAGTATAAGTGTAGCTCTTCTCTTGTAGCTACAAATGGGTAGTAAAAAATAAATAATGACTCGGTATAGGTTTATTACTTTTTTAAAATTTTAGTGATAAAAATTAAAGTATAAAACTGTATATGGTCTCTTTTAATTAGATAATGGGGGTACCAGCTTAAATTGTGTTTATTATATGAAATAATCAATGATATTGAAGAAAATATAGACTCATTTGCTGCTCCTGCTAGTCTAACAAATAATTTTATTAATCTTGTTGCAGGTGACCACCATAGTCTCTGGTGGTCATGTATCCTCATACACTTTATCTGGCAGCTTGATTGGTGAGTCACCATTATACAAGGACCTTCGCTATCCAAATCCAACCCTTCTCTCACGGGGACTCGTTTTTGCTTCGACAATCACGTCTAGAACACTTTTATGTGAGTATAGTATTTATATTGACTTACGTAAAGCTTTTGATACAGTTGACCACGGCTTGCTCCACATAAAATTGTCGCACTATGGTATAAGAGGGCACTCCCTCAACTACCTAAAGTCATACCTCAGCAACAGAAGCCAATATGTGTACACAAATGGGGCAAACTCTTCTGCACAGCCAATTACAGTTGGTGTCCCACAGGGAAGTGTCCTAGACCCTCTTCTCTTTCTCATATACATAAATGACCTACCAAATGCATTGCAACTACTCAAACCCACACTATTTGCAGATGACACTACATATGTCTACTCTCACCCAAGCCCAGTCATGCTAGCCTATACTGTAAATACCGAATTACAGAAAATATCAACCTGGATGAGGACCAACAAACTTACTCTAAACATTGACAAAACCTACTACATTCAGTTTGGTAACAGAGCTACAGATGTGTCTCTTAACATAATGATAAATGGATCACCTATCACAAAACTCACAGAGGGAAAATTCTTAGGAATCCACCTTGATAATAGACTCAAATTTCAAACATATACAACAAATTTCCAAAAAAATTTCCAAGACCGTAGGCATACTATCGAAGATACGGTACTATGTTCCACAGTCAGCCCTCCTGGCCCTATATCACTCGCTTATTTACCCCTATCTCATCTATGGAATTTGTGCATGGGGCTCAACAAAAATAAACCATCTCAGACGACTAATCAGCCAACAAAAGGCTGCAGTCAGAAGGATAACAAATTCCCACTACAGACAGCACACTCCACCAATATTTAAAACTCTGAACCTACTCACAATACAAAACATCCATACTTATTACTGCACCTACTTCATACATAGAACACTTAACTCTGACATAAACCCTCCCCTCAAACATCTCCTTACCAACCTCAACAGAACACTTGACCATAACACAAGGCACAGATCACTCTTTGATGTTCCTCGTGTCCATCGTGCACTATGCAAAAACTCAATGCACATAAAAGGCCCTAAAATCTGGAATTCATTACCTGTGAATGTAAAAGAAACACTGTTTATAAATTCAAGTCTCTTCTCAAAAATCACTTACTCACCCACAACTAAATAAATACTGAATAATTATTTTTTTTTTTTATTATCACACTGGCTGATTCCCACCAAGGCAGGGTGGCCCGAAAAAGAAAAACTTTCACCATCATTCACTCCATCACTGTCCTGCCAGAAGGGTGCTTTACACTACAGTTTTTAAACTGCAACATTAACACCCCTCCTTCAGAGTGCAGGCACTGTACTTCCCATCTCCAGGACTCAAGTCCGGCCCGCCGATTTCCCTGAACCCCTTCATAAATGTTACTTTGCTCACACTCCAACAGCACGTCAAGTATTAAAAACCATTTGTCTCCATTCACTCCTATCAAACACGCTCACGCATGCCTGCTGGAAGTCCAAGCCCCTCGCACACAAAACCTCCTTTACCCCCTCCCTCCAACCTTTCCTAGGCGGACCCCTACCCCGCCTTCCTTCCACTACAGACTGATACACTCTTGAAGTCATTCTGTTTCGCTCCATTCTCTCTACATGTCCGAACCACCTCAACAACCCTTCCTCAGCCATCTGGACAACAGTTTTGGTAATCCCGCACCTCCTCCTAACTTCCAAACTACGAATTCTCTGCATTATATTCACACCACACATTGCCCTCAGACATGACATCTCCACTGCCTCCAGCCTTCTCCTCGCTGCAACATTCATCACTCATGCTTCACACCCATATAAGAGCATTGGTAAAACTATACTCTCATACATTCCCCTCTTTGCCTCCAAGGACAAAGTTCTTTGTCTCCACAGACTCCTAGGTGCACCACTCACCCTTTTCCCCTCATGAATTCTATGATTCACCTCATCTTTCATAGACCCATCCGCTGACACGTCCACTCCCAGATATCTGAATACATTCACCTCCTCCATACTCTCTCCCTCCAATCTGATATCCAATCTTTCATCACCTAATCTTTTTGTTATCCTCATAACCTTACTCTTTCCTGTATTCACTTTTAATTTTCTTCTTTTGCATACCCTACCAAATTCATCCACCAATCTCTGCAACTTCTCTTCAGAATCTCCCAAGAGCACAGTGTCATCAGCAAAGAGCAACTGTGACAACTCCCACTTTATGTGTGATTCTTTATCTTTTAACTCCACGCCTCTTGCCAAGACCCTCGCATTTACTTCTCTTACAACCCCATCTATAAATATATTAAACAACCACGGTGACATCATTCATCCTTGTCTAAGGCCTACTTTTACTGGGATATAATTTCCCTCTTTCCTACATACTCTAACTTGAGCCTCACTATCCTCGTAAAAACTCTTCACTGCTTTCAGTAACCTACCTCCTATACCATACACCTGCAACATCTGCCACATTGCCCCCCTATCCACCCTGTCATACACCTTTTCCAAATCCATAAATGCCACAAAGACCTCTTTAGCCTTATCTAAATACTGTTCACTTATATGTTTCACTGTGGTATAAATCTTGGTAATAAATACTGACAAGTTGGTTTAGAAAGACACGTAAGCAAACACTATAACATATTTATTAGAAAACGTTTCGGTCCTGGGACCTTGATCACTTCTAACATACAGAGGTAGAAAGACATTATATATATAGGCGGAGAGTGAGATGTGATGCACGTGACCTGAGGAATGTCATAAGAACATAAGAATGGAGGAACACTGTAGAAGGTCTACTGGCTCATGCGAGGCAGGTCTTTATCAAAACAACCTCTACCTATGATGAGGACGGGTAGACGAACCAGACCTCAGACGCCGACGGTGCCTAGAAGCCTCACTAATCGCCATCACCGACACTATAGAACGCAACACTGGAAACTACAAAAATTTCAAAAACATTGGCATACATGATACTTAAGCAGCACCAACCCAACAACACAGGAGTCACATGATTTCATCCTCTACCCGTCCTCATCATAGTTAGAGGTTGTTTTGATAAAGATCTGCCTCGCATGAGCCAGTAGACCTTCTACAGTGTTCCTCCATTCTTATGTTCTTATGACATTCCTCAGGTCACGTGCGTTACATCTCACTCTCCGCCTATATATATAATGTCTTTCTACCTCTGTATGTTAGAAGTGATCAAGGTCCCAGGACCGAAATGTTTTCTAATAAATATGTTATAGTGTTTGCTTACGTGTCTTTCTAAACCATGTTTCACTGTAAACACCTGGTCACACACCCCCTACCTTTCCTAAAGCCTCCTTGTTCATCTGCTATCCTATTCTCCGTCTTACTCTTAATTCTTTCAATAATAGCTCTACCATACACTTTACCAGGTATACTCAACAGACTTATCCCCCTATAATTTTTGCACTCTATTTTGTCCCCTTTGCCTTTATACAAAGGAACTATGCATGCTCTCTGCCAATCCCTAGGTACCTTACCCTCATCCATACATTTATTAAATAATTGCACCAACCACTCCAAAACTATATCCCCACCTGCTTTTAACATTTCTATCTTTATCCAATCAATCCCGGCTGCCTTACCCCCTTTCATTTTACCTACTGCTTAACGAACTTCCCCCACACTCACAACTGGCTCCTCCTCACTCCTACAAGATGTTATTCCTCCTTGCCCTATACACGAAATCACAGCTTCCCTATCTTCATCAACATTTAACAATTCCTCAAAATATTCCCTCCATCTTCCCAATACCTCTAACTCTGTGATGAATGGTTTGAAAAACCGACAGGTTGAAGATTGAGACACTTATGCAGCATATGGGAATCTTTATTCAGGAAACGTTTCGCCACACAGTGGCATCATCAGTCCAATACAAAGAGGAAGGCGTAAGGAGAGGAGGAGTATGAGGTAATCAGTCCCTCAGCCTGGAGTCGATGTGTTCAGTCCATCAATCTACAAGATTCCTGAATAAAGATTCCCATATGCTGCATAAGTGTCTCAATCTTCACCTCTAACTCTCCATTTAATAACTCTCCTCTCCTATTTTTAACTGACAAATTCGTTTGTTCTCTAGGCTTCCTTAACTTGTTAATCTCACTCCAAAACTTTTTCTTATTTTCAAAAAAATTTGTTGATAACATCTCACCCACTCTCTCATTTGCTCTCTTTTTACATTGCTTCACCACTCTCTTAACCTCTCTCTTTTTCTCCATATACTCTTCCCTCCTTGCATCACTTCTACTTTGTAAAAACTTCTCATATGCTAACTTTTTCTCCCTTACTACTCTCTTTACATCATCATTCCACCAGTCGCTCCTCTTTCCTCCCGCACCCACTTTCCTGTAACCACAAACTTCTGCTGAACACTCTAACATTACATTTTTAAACCTACCCCATACATCTTCGACCCCATTGCCTATGCTCTCATTAGCCCATCTATCCTCCAATAGCTGTTTATATCTTACCCTAACTGCCTCCTCTTTTAGTTTATAAACCTTCACCTCTCTCTTCCCTGATGCTTCTATTCTCCTTGTATCCCATCTACCTTTTACTCTCAGTGTAGCTACAACTAGAAAGTGATCTGATATATCTGTGGCCCCTCTATAAACATGTACATCCTGAAGTCTACTCAACAGTCTTTTATCTACCAGTACATAATCCAACAAACTACTGTCATTTCGCCCTACATCATATCTTGTATATTTATTTATCCTCTTTTTCTTAAAATATGTATTACCTATAACTAAACCCCTTTCTATACAAAGTTCAATCAAAGGGCTCCCATTATCATTTACACCTGGCACCCCAAACTTACCTACCACACCCTCTCTAAAAGTTTCTCCTACTTTAGCATTCAGGTCCCCTACCACAATTACTCTCTCACTTGGTTCAATGGCTCCTATACAATCACTTAACATCTCCCAAAATCTCTCTCTCTCCTCTACATTCCTCTCTTCTCCAGGTGCATACATGCTTATTATCACCCACTTTTTGCATCCAACCTTTACTTTAATCCACATAATTCTTGAAATTACACATTCATATTCTCTTTTCTCCTTCCATAACTGATCCTTCAACATTACTGCTACCTCTTCCTTTACTCTAACTCTCTCAGATACTCCAGATTTAATCCCATTTATTTCCCCCCACTGAAACTCCCCTACCCCCTTCAACTTTGTTTCGCTTAGGGCCAGGACATCCAACTTCTTTTCATTCATAACATCAGCAATCATCTGTTTCTTGTCATCCGCACTACATCCACGCACATTTAAGCATCCCAGTTTTATAAAAATTTTCTTCTTCTCTTTTTTAGTAAATGTCTACAGGAGAAGGGGTTACTAGCCCATTGCTCCTGGCATTTTAGTTGCCTCATACGACATGCATGGCTTACGGAGGAAAGATTCTTTTCCACTTCCCAATGGACAATAGAAGAAATAAATTAGAACAAGAGCTATTTAGAAAAAGGAGAAAAACCTAGATGTATGTATATATGTATGCATGTGCGTGTCTGTGAAGTGTGACCAAAGTGTAAGTAGGAGTAGCAAGATATCCCTGTTATCTAGCGTGTTTATGAGACAGAAAAAGAATAAATGTATCTCATAAATTGTATCTCTGAATAATTGTATCTCATAAATTGTATCTCATTATTGTATCTCATTATTGTATCTCATAAATGTCAACCTGTGACCCAATCAAACTTTGTTACTATTTAACTTCATTACCTAACAGAATACTCCATTCTAGTGATTACACAGCAACACAGTAAATGACCATATGACCTGTCTTTGTAATACTTATTTGTACTAAATTGTTATCTGTTTTACATTAATTTTTGTACCACTGAATATATCATTGCTTAGTTAATCTTAAGTAAATTTTAAGCCTGCCCATAATGCTCTGCATACAAGGGGCTTTGGCATGTTGCACTTCAAAAAATTGTATTCCTTGTACTTCTCTGTATCATGTTCAAATAAATAAATAAGTAAATAAATAAATGGTGTGAAATTGTTGTGTATTTCTAATCAGCAGAGTAATTAGGAAAATGATAATATATGTGGAAGCATAAAAATAAGGTCCTAGTATTCCTAATAAAAATTAGTAGAAAATTTTTAAGTTTGTTTGTTTTTATTTGTTTGGTGACTCATTCCTATTTTCATACAGTAATTTCAGTTGGCTTCTAGGCAGCCTTGGTTTCTAGACAATTCTGTCTAGAAACCTTCGGCAACTGTACTAAGCTTACTCAAGCCATAAACATGTAATTAAATATAATTAGGCTATTCAGAGTGGTTTATGAACTGTGTCAATCACATGGGATTACTATAAATTGCATGTACAGAATTTCTGATGGAAATAGGACATTGCATAATAACGACTCTGCGTAAAGTGAATCTTCTTAAAGCAAGAGAAACCTATATTCTTTTTATCTCATAATCTTTCCTAGGGATGTAATATTTTCACTCTTGCAGTATTCTTAAATTATTTTTTCCTCATTCTTTCATGTTTGCAGTATAACCCAAATTATTTAAATTCATTACTGTTTATCAATATTTTATCACCCATTTTTTCTGATATCCTGCTTCCATATCTTACAAAAAAACTATTGCATACTCTTATGATAAACATTCAGTACATGCATAACTCACATTCACTGCTTGGCAGCATACTGGCACATGGATCGTGAACGTGATTATTGGCTGGTTGGTGAAAGTATCTTGACGAGCTGGATACAGCGAGGATCACAGGCTGTGGGTAACACAGGACTTATTACAGGAAGTGAAGATGAAAACTGTGACACTGAGTCATCTTCACCAGGAAATATTGCTGGAGCAGTTAGAAATTCTATTTCCAATACTGAGGTATTCAGTGCTATATTTTTCTTCACAAATTTGAAACATTTTATATTTTAAAGAAATGCTTTATGTGAAATTATAAATATAATATTAAAAATCTAACTCTAATTTATAATTTGGCAAGACAGTGATAGTGTGAATGATGGCGAAAGTTTTTTAGTTTTGGTAGATGGTCAGCGTGTTAAAAAAAAAAATGAAGCTACTAATGAAGTTCAAGTTATATTTGGATTTATTAATAAATAATTAAACATTTCTCTGGTTGTTCAGTCTTAACTAGTTTTATTTTCATCTGGGAGTTGGAGGAGGAGGAGGATGAGATGAGGCTGAAAAACAATACATCTTTGAGATACCCCACGATCTTAGTTGCTAAGACCACAATTAACTGATCATCAGGACAGCAATGTTTTGTTTATTTCCACAGTATGTTTGTTAAATAATGTATAAATTACCTTATGTGAAAAGAAAAACTTTCATTTTTCTTTTTAGGTCACCCTGCCTCGGTGAGAGACAGCCGGTGCATTGAAAAAATGAATGTATACACCTACCATCCGACTTACGACCGAGTTTGGTTCCGAGAAACCAGTCGTAAGTCGAACTTTACTACTGAATATCAACAAAACCTTTTTGTAATGACTTTATTTTATTTTATTTTGGTATTTCATGTTTTACTTTACTTTTTATGCTGTTAGTACTGTATTTTATACTGTAAGGTTTAGGATAAACACTGTGTACAACACAAATAGTTGTTTATTTCCCAGAAATTTGGCATAAAAAACACGGTCGTAAGTCGAGTGGTCGTAAGTCGAGCAGGTCGTAAGTCGGATGGTAGGTGTATGTATGTATATATGTATCTACATGCAGCAAGATCACAGTAAACAGGTGATATCAAAATATGCAAAACAACCACTGTGAAAGAATAGTGAAATTTCAAGCGCTTTCGTGACTTCTCACAAGGGACTATCATAGTTCCTTGATAATGTGAGAAGTCACAAAATCGCTTGGAATTTCACTATTCTTTCACAGTGGTTGTTTTGCATATGTATGTGCATATGTACGCATGTATGTATGCACATATATATGTATGTACACATGTACGTATATATGTATGCGACACTATCCGAACTTGGTCTGTGCACCATTAGCTTTTAATACCTTCATTCATATTCACTTATATAATACCTAATGCACTGCAGGGGTATGCCATAGCATACTTCTATAATCTTCAGTCTTCTCATTTACATTTACTTGTTAATTACAGCCTGCTAGTAGTTGTATAGTGACACTAGCCAAGGTGAGGATAGGCGCAACCATGCTGCTTGAGGTAACAGTGGTTCACTACAAACGAGGCCTCGTTTTTTGTGGCACCAGTCAAGGTGAGTTTTGTCTGTGATTTTTTGTATCTGTGACCTGTTTAGAGAACTCTCTTTATCTTTGTTGCTCAGCCTGAGACCAGGTTTCTCAGTTGACTTCCTGGTCAACAACGTTGTTTGTGTTAGTGACTCACAGGCCTTTAGCGCAAACTTGGCTGCTTCAGCATGTATAAAGCTATCCAGCTGTTTCTTGAAAACTTGTCTTTGTTCTGAAATGAGTGTTTGTACCATTTAATAATGTACAGTAGAACTCTACTTACAATGTTAGCCCTGTCAAGGTCGGTCCTGTAGCTCTACACCATGAACTCAGCTCACTCGGATAAGCTGTGAGTGGTAAATTTGGGCCTAGATATAAGAGAATGAGTCTGTGCAGAAAGTGTGCAGTATATAGAAAAAATCCTGCAGTAAGCATTGTATAATGGGAAAAAAAACTCCGACCATGTTTTTGGTTTTATACAGCGACTTTGTGGTGTATTTTCATATGATTTTTGTGGTTGTATTCTGTTTCTTGTTCTCATTTGATAGAATGGAAGATATATTACACTAATAGAGATAATTTTGATTGGTTTCTGGACTGAAAGGAGCTTGAAATTCCACTCAAAGCAGCGGAAATGTTCGATTTTTGCTGATATACGAGAGTACACAAATTTCATAGTTTTGGTTTCATTACGTTCGGAAAAAGATTATCATGTCATAAGAAAAATAGATTCTTCATGGGGAAATGGAACAGAATTCTTCCTCCGTAAGCCATGTGTGTTGTAAGAGGCGACTAAAATGCCGGGAGCAAGGGGCTAGTAACCTCTTCTCCTATATATATTACTAAATTTGAAAGGAGAAACTTTCGTTTTTCCTTTTGGGCCACCCCACCTCGGTGATGCGGCCTGTGTGTTGAAAGAAAGAAAGAAAAACATATATATATATATATATTATATTATATATATATATATATATTATATATATATTATTATATATTATATATTATATATATACACAGTGGACCCCCGCATAACGATTACCTCCGAATGCGACCAATTATGTAAGTGTATTTATGTAAGTGCGTTTGTACGTGTATGTTTGGGGGTCT